AGGCTCACTGACAAGGCCTTTACCATAGAGCTTGGCAGTGATGGTGGGTCCATGGTCCCGGGTGAACTTTTTGGTGATGAAGATGGCATACTCGTCATAGTTGGTGTGGACCACATAGGTTTCCAAGGTTGCGTTCCATTCTGTGTGGGAGACACAGGCAGACCAGAGGCATCAGTGGTCAGGCCCTTCACCCTAGAGGCCCATCACTGTCTTCCACTCAGCACGCCTGCATCCTTTCCCACAACCGCATGACCCTTCCAGGGTCTCACCTTCTGCTCCTCCAGCATCAGCCTCTCTCTCCACCTGCTAGACAGTACTGACTCACCCAGCTCCAGTCCATCCATCCCCTGCAGGTCCATTCCTCCTTGTCTGCCTCCCTCCCTGGTTCCTTCCCTCTCTTTTGCTCACCTCCCTCTTTTTCATCCCTTTCATCCTTCTTCCCAACCTCCCGCTCTCCTTCTCTCTACCCTTCCCCATCACCTCTCCTTCCATTTCTACTCTTTCCTTCTCCTTTTTTATTTTTTAAAGAAGAGTCTCAAGCTGGGTGGTGGTGGTGCACCCCTTTAATCCAGCACTCGGGAGGCAGAAACAGGCGGATCTCTGTCAGTTTGAGGCCTACCTGGTCTACAGAGTGAGTTCCAGGACAGGCTCCAAAACTACAGAGAGAAACTTTGTCTCAAACCCCCCCACCCAAAGAAGCCCTCAAAAAACAAAAAACAAAAAAAAGTAGAGTCTCATTTAGCCCAGGCTGGCCTTTCGGCTTGTTATGTAGCCAAGGATGCCCTTGAACTTCTGGTCCTTTTTCTTCCACCTTATTGCTGGGAATATAAGCATGAACCACCACGCCCGGCTTTCCCTTCTTCCTTCCACCCTTCCTCTTCCTTCTCTCCTGTCTGTCTTTCCTTCCTTCTTTTCTCCTTTGGTCACTCCATCCACCTGTCTTCAGATGGCCCACCCACTCATCTGTCATCCCATTCATCTACTTATTGTTGCTCACCTCATCAATGTTCCCGTCCTCTGTCAACACTCAGTGTTCATCTCATGCACAATAATATGGCCCAAAGAGGAGACTCCACAGACAGTTGCTAAATCTATGAGTCAATTTGAACCCACATTCCTCTGTCGCTTAGAACCAAGCATGAGGCCTGCAGGTGGGGAGCTGCTAACATTGGCAATCTACACCTCTCCCAGTTCTGGACAGATGCTAAATGAGAGGAGCTGTGGAGCCCAAACATTTGAGGGCAGCCTGGATGACTTCTCAGATGTACCGGAAAGAAGGTCGCAATGGTAGGGGGGAGAGAAAGGGGAAGGAAGGGACTGTGGTGTGTCCCCACACTCACTGGGATTGTAGGAGAGGAACTTTCCATCGATGTCTGTCTTCTCATAGGTCCAGGAGATCTCCTCGCAGACACCTCTCCTGTCAATGACGAAGCCAAAATGTCCTTTTTGTGTCCATTTGGAAATGAATGTTTCCAAATATCTTGTTTCATAGTCATCCTAGACCTTGGAAATCCCCTTTTTATTCCTGCTTCCTGGCAGGGTGAGCAGTAAAGTCACATTGTTATTTCTGCACATTACCCTGGTGGCAGTGATGGACCAATGCTCAGCTTTCAGTCATGGCCTGATGTCCCCTGTGGGGATGATGGCCCCTTGTGGCCATCATTGGAATCACTGAGCATGGATCATGTAGTATTCTAGCTATTGCAGTTTCATGATCACTCCTTGTCCTGTGAACAGCTCTTGTGCCACATGCTGGGGACACAAAGGAGAGCCTTGAGTGGGCTTTGCCATAATGGGGCCACAAGTCCAGCCAGGGCCAGATGCCAACAGTGTATTCCTAACAACATAACAAACAGTGTATACATCACACAGTAAGTAGAAACACTGTACTCAAGAGGCCATGTGATGTGGCCTGAACCTGGGGGTCCAGGAGAGCCTTCTGGAAGAAATGACATGGAACTAGCATCCCAAGGACTCACAGAATTAGGCCAGAGAAGCAGGGAAATGTGCAAAGGTCTGGAGGTCTGAGAGCGAGAAGCACACCGGGAACTGAAGAGCTGCTGCCCAGGGTTCCAAAGGTCATGGGAGAGCACGGAGCAGGGAGAGGCGAGAGCTGAAAGACCTAGAGGCCCCGTCAAGATTTTACTATTAATACTGAGGACAGTGGGGTTCTGTCCTCATGAAAGTTCTCTTCATGGAAGGGAACCATGGAAGGTTCTCGTCAGTGAGTATGTTTTTTTAAAAAGGTTGTTCTGGTTGCTGGGTGAAGACTGGATCACAGGGAAAGAACAAGGTTGAAGGTGGAAAGGGAAGTAGACAGCTGCAGGAGATAGGAAGGAAGGGAGAGAGGGAGGGAAGGAGGAGGGAGGAAGGAAGGAGACTTCCATTGCAGTGGCAGGAGTGGAGAGAGGCTAGGTGGGAGGGGCTTGGAAAAGGGGCAGATCTTCAGGATGGCTGTTTCCCAGCACGAAGGAGTGATAAGAGTCTAGGAACTCCACCCTAGACCTGCTGGACCGAGGCTGCCTGGCTAGGTCCCTAGGGTAGCTGTTCCCTTCCCCAGCCGAGGTATCCCAAAGGAAAGGCAGCTTGCACAAGAAGCCTAGGGTTGGAGACACGGTCTCTGAGAGGCACACAATGTGTTTGTTGAGGGTGGATAGAAGTGACACCCGAGACTCAGAGGTAAAGTCCTAGCTGTGGTTTCCAGGACAAGGTGGGGGGTATTGGGAACTTGGTCGCTCCTGCGCCCCCACTCACCGCCATCGGGTGCTGGACACACTGATCTCTGCTTCTGTCTCCCCTTCTTGCAGCACCAGTGTGCTCATGCTTATCTTGTCCTTAATCTTCCTCAGCCATGGGCAGGTGGAGCCTATCGCCAGGTTGAACCATTTTCCATAGATCTAGGAAGAACCACAAGCTAGGATCTGGATTCACCCAGGCCTTTGAGAAGACATGTTCATGTTCCCCTTCCTTCTTTGAAGGGCCAGCCCTTTAGGATAGTGTCTTAAACTGATAATGGATTCCAGGCACAGCACAGTGAGGGCAGAGGTGTGCAATGCTCCCCTTGCTTTCCCCAGGTTTTCTTCCTTGGTTTTAAATTTTTTTTGTTCCTTGGTTGGGCGGGAGGTTCCGGCTTGCTTCTTTTGAAACTTCCGGCCCCCCTTGTTCGGGGTTTTGGGGTTTGGTTTTTTTCCTTTCCCCGGCGTTTTTGGCCCCTTTTTGGGGCGGCTTTTGGCGTTGCCTTGGGGCCCTACCTGCTTGGGCGTTGTTTGTGGGGCCAGCCACCTCTTTCTTTTGCTTGCCTGCTTGTTGTTGTTGCTTTCCTTCCCCTCGCTCGACCGCCCGCCTGTTTGTTGTTTTTCGTTATGTATAGTCACTTGGCTGGTTCTTTGTGTGCGTCCGTTAGATCGTGGATGGAGGGTGGGTTCCGCCGTCTTATTTTTTTATTCTTGAGGATGATGGGGGTGCTGTTTGCTCCATACTTCCTTGTTGTCCCCCCTCCTCCCCTGCTTCTTCTACTATTTTTTTCACCACCCCTCCTCCCCGCCGCCTGATTGGTGTGCTTGGGCTCGTCTGGGTTACCCTTATCTTCCTATTTCTTGTTTCTCTTCCTCTGCTTCTCTTCCTGGTCTGTTCCCACAGGTCTGTGCCCATGGCTCTCCTGTGCCTGCTGCTCTTTTTGGTTTTGTCTCGTGTGTCTTGCTGTGGGGGCTTGTTGGGACGGGGTTGGGTTGTCAGAGGTTCGGCTCGCCTGGGTGCCCTGAGCGTGAATTGTATCTTCCGGGGTTGTCGGTTTAGCGTGTCTGAGAGTCCCGTATGTGGCCCTCGGGCTTGGGCTGTTGTGTATGGGTTGGGATGTTGTGTATCCGATGGGAGGCCGGAGAGTCCTGTGGTGTGGGCCTGGCCTTGTTGTGGCCGTCTCAGTGGGATAGGCGTGTCTTCCTTGTGGCTCTCTGAGCTTGTGCTGCGCCTGTTTGTCTGGACGTGTTTCCATTGTGTTGGCCTTTGATGTCTGGGAGTGTTTCCGCTGGGTGAGCCTTTTCCGGCGGCGCTGCATGGCTCTGGGGTCTTTGGGTTTTGAGGTTTTGCATGTGTTTGGGGTGTTTGGGCTTTGTTGTTTGCCTGGGTGGTGTGGAGGGTGAGGCTTGGTTCGCTGCCTGGGTTATCTGCTGAGTGTGGTTTTTGCAGAGGCTGGTGCTTTATGGTTCTGGTGGTGTTTTCTTCGCTTGGTGCATTCGGGTCCTGGTCCAGCTTTGTTGGCTGGCTGTCGTGGTTCCTGGGTCCGACTGTGTGTTGAGGAAGTCCTGTTTGGTTCCTCCGCTGGGGCGTTTTTGTTGTAGGTTTGGGTTTCGCCCGTGGGGAGGGTTTGTTGTGGGTTTAGCCCTTGCCTTGGTTTAGTGGTGCTTGGGGCGTGTGAGCATGAGGTCGGCTGTTGTTTCCTGTTTCTCGTGTGCTAGCCTTGTGTGCTTTGTTTGTTGCCTGCTGAGCGTGAGCCGGGGGTAGGCTGCTTGGCGAGCGGGTTCTTTTTCTTGTCTCGTTCTCAATCGGTTTTTTTTTCTTTTCCAGGTTGTGATTCTGTTCTTTTCTGTATCCCCAGTGGTTTTTCTGTGTGTTCATGTTGGGACCCTGGTTTCTCCTCGTGGCCGTCTTTGGACGCCTGTGCATGGCCCTTTCCCAGCTCTGTGTCCTGTGTCTGGCCGTTTTGCCGGGATTTGTTCTGGGTCTCCTCGTGGTGGCGGGAGTGCCTGGGGGCGGTTCCGTGCGGGGGTTCGCACGTGGGGGTTCTTGGTGTGGTTTTCCTGGTGTGTGAGCTTGGTGTGGTTGTTGTTCTTTTTTTTTTTTGACCGGTTGGTGGGGCTCTCTTTTGTTTCTGGATGCTCGGCGTTGATTTCGGTCTGTGGATGTTATTCCTGTGGTGATGGGTGTTGTCGGTATCTTGTCTGTTTTTGTTAATTTACTCCCTCTTGAGGCTGTTTTTGGGTTCAGAACCCCAGATCAGGGTCCTCCTTTTAGATGAAATCCATCATGGCAAGTTGGTTCAGGATGACACACTTATTTTGTTTTGTTCCTAGTGATTTGGAGTCTTTTGCAACAGCAGCCCAAGGAGGGTAACACAGTAACCTTTCATCTAAAGCAACAACAAAAATTTCTCTTTGAGACAGGGATTTATAGCTCAGCCTGGCCTTGAACCATTTGGAGTCAGAACTGCCTTTGAATATCTGATCCTCCTGCCTCCATGTCATGAGTGCCTGGATCACAGGCATGCCCTACCATTGCCTGGTTTATGCTGTGGTGGGGGTTAAACCCAGGGCTTTGTGCATCTTGGGCAAGAGCTCGACCAGCTGAGCTCCATCCTTGGCCTCTAGATTTCCATATGCTAAAAGGAGTTTTTAAAAACTCCTGTCCATGATACTATGATCCGTCTCCATGTGCCTCTCTCTTCTCCAGGGGTCCCAGCCACCATCCTTCCTACCTCCCTACTCCTCTTGTGACAGATTCCTTCATGCAGCAAGGAATCCCTGTTACAGCTGTCTCCTGAGAGCAAGGGCCCTGGGAGATTCAGGGGTTCCCTTCCATAGTCAGTACCTGAGCAAATAGTGGGCTATTTCCTCCTGTGAGGCCCAGCAGACACAGTCCCCTTTTGCTGGCATCCAGAGTGCATGTGTCTATTTGTAAATGAGAGGGTTTCCTGTGCACCATATGCAGTTCAACACAGCAACTGTCTTGGCTTAACTTTCTGGCATAGTTACCCTCTTTTGTGTTCCTGATTCTCTGACTTTTTAAAGATTAATTTTGATTTGTATGTGCGAATAGTATGGACTGGAGTACACATGCACAGTGCATGTGCTGTGGTGGAGGTACCTGTGGACGTCTGAGGACAACTTGCGGAAGTCCGCTCTCTCCATCCACCATGTGGGTTCCAGGGATCACACTTGGCTTGTCAAGGTTGGCAGCAAGGCCTTTACCCACTAAACCATCTCAGCAGCCCAGTTTCTCAGTCTTTCACGGTTGACTAACGCTGGGCACAAGGAGGTGAACTGAGATGGAGAACAGAGAAGCAGAAGTGAGGCATCTTGACTCCTTGTTCTGTGGGATCTTGGGACAGCTTTCTCTCTCCCCTTATCTGTAAATGAGAGGACAGGGCAGTTACCATTGAGTCCACCTGGAGGGCAAGAGAGACCCACTTGTAGATGCAGTCTGTGAATGTCCATGCCCACCCCAGTGACTGTCCTACTACCTGGGATACATGCATTATACATCTATCTATCTATCTATCTATCTATCTATCTATCTATCTATCTATCTATCTATCTATCTATAATTTATTATATAATAATATATTTATAATATATATTTTATAGAGTTATAGAGATATATTCCATATGAATATATTAATATGTAATATTAACAACATACAATGCTATAAAAAATGTAAGGTTATATATTCATATAACTATATAGCAATATATAAGATGTTTTATACATAATTGATATATAATATTTAATAACATATTATATATAATAAGTTATATATATATGTATATGTATGTATTTTATTTTTCCTTTATGTTCATTGCTAGTTTAACTTCATGTATGTCTGTGTGAGGTGTCAGATGTCCTGGAACTGGAGTTACGGACAGATGTGAGTTGCCATGTGGTGCTGGGAATTGAACTTGGCATCTCATGAAGAGCAAAGCCACTGCTCTGAACTGTTGAACCATCTCTCTAGCCTCCAACATAACCTTTCTGACCTTCCTGGCAGGCTGGAAAGTTAAAGAACTCAGGGTACCCCAACTCTGATCTCAGACTCTTGGGGACAAGCCCGTATGCTCGTAGTACAACCTGCTGAGGTGAGGGCAAGCTGGGAGTTTACTTAGTACTCAACATGCCCGTAAGTGGAAGGAGTGGGGCAGGGGTGGGGGTGAGGTGACCACAGGATGGCCAGGGATGCCGATCACTCCTCTTGCTCCAGATGTTTGCACTCCTGAGATTATTAACCAGAGCAAGCAGAGGGGACCCCAGCCAAGGCCATCTGGACTTTGAACCATTTTTAAACATTAACAGGGGCTGTAGGGAGAGAAGACAGGCAGACCTAGGATCCCCCATTCCCTCTTCTCCTTTATTTCAAAGTAGAAGCTGAGGGGCCTCCCAGGGGGCCCAAAGTTCACAGGAATCATCATGATTCTGGAATAATTTGAAGGTGGGGATGATATTGCTCACCCAGGAGCCCAGCACAGCAGACATTAGTTGTCTCAGTGTTCAGATGAACACATTGGGGAGAGGACTTGTTCAAGGTCACTCAGCTTATAGCCCAAGCCTACACCCTCACTCTCACATCATGGCTATTCAAGTGTTCATTCTTTCAACCTTGTCGCTAGGAACAGAATAGGGACCCTGACAGGGTTTGGGGAGGAGGCCGGCAAATGAGGAAATGATCGAAGGCAGAGTATATTGATGGGAGGCAGAAGCCAGGGGAGGAGCACTCACCCAAAGAGAGGACATGTGCACACATGAGTGCACAGGAGAGTGAGGTCCCAGAAGGGAAGTCATCTCAGCACTGGGGACAAAGTCACAAAAGTCTCAGAAGAGGAAAATGGAGAGAGAGATGCATTTGAGATACAATAAATCAACCAATACCAGGGCTGGTGAGATGGCCGCACAGGTTAAGGTGCTTCCTGCCAAGCCTGTTGTCTTGACTTTGATCCTTGAAATCCACATGATGGAAGGAGAGGACCAGCTTCTGTAAGCTGTCCTCTGAACCCACACTCATGTGCACATATGTGCATGCTTATAAAAATCAATACATGTAAAGGTATTTTTAATTAAAATTAAAACCATCCCTCATCTGGGAGCTTGGATGATAGAGGGGAGGGGCTGGTCCCGTGTGACTGGCAGGATTGCCAGGCCTGGGGCTTTCCCCCCTGCTCTGTGTGTGGGGGCAGGAGCAGGGTTGCTTATGTTCAGAAGGCAGTAGAGAGCATATCTGAGGTCAGGGGAGATCAATGCGGAGACCGGGAAAGAGCTGGGGGACGGTAAGTGCTCAGGAGGCTTCCAGGAAGAGGGGAGGACCGGACAGTCGAAGCTGCTATGGTCCAGCAGGGACCTCAGGGTAGAACCAAGGCCAGTGGGTGTGGGCAAGCTTAGTGCCAAAGGGCATGGCAGGGTGGAGGCCCTGTCCACTGTCACGGGCTATCCATTCAGAGCCGCCAGAGGGAAGCAGGGGGGTGGGGGTGGGTGGGGAGGTGGATGCTAGGGCAGTGGAAAAAGGAAGTCCTTGCTGCCCAGCTGAGTTCCACGCTCTGCTTTTCACCCTGTGACCAAGAATATAGCCAGGCTGGGTTTCTATCTCTGTAAGTAAAATCCATTCCTAGCATGCATGAGGCCCTGGGTTCGAATCCCAGCAACTGCATAAACTAGGCACAGAGGCACATATTGTAATCTCATCTCTTGAGAGGCAGAGGGAAGAGGATCAGGAGTTCAAGGTCATCCTCAGCTACATACAAAATTCAAGGCTAGACTGGGCTACCTGTGACCCCGTCAAAAGAAAGACGGAGTTGAGGGATGCCACCTGGAGACTTGAGTATCAGTCCTCAGTGACTTACAGTCCTTTCCCTCCCTGGCTTCAGCTGTTTCTTCTAAACATCCAAACGGGACAGTGCTCACTCAAGTGACACAGAGGAAACAGGGCATGGCAGATGCCTGGGGAAACATCCCCAAAGTCTGTGGACTTGAGGAAGCCAAGCAGTTTTGGCCTCCGTACCTGGTTGGAATTGTGCTGGGAATGCATGAATGCCTCCTGTCCACCAGGGGGCAGCAGAGAACTTCCAAAAAGCAAAGAAGAGGGACTCAGAGGCCTGCAGCAAAGGCATGTGAAAGTAACAACAACAAGCCAAGGTTAGAGTCTGTCTTCCTTGAGCTGCTGTAACCCCCTCGTTACCTTCCGTCTTGACCTGCCAATCCCCATGCCTGTTGAGCCTGCTGTAACCCCCTCGTCACCTTCCGTCTTGACCTGCCAATCCCCATGCCTGTTAAGAGAGCTGAAGGGTTGAGAGAGGCCCTTAAACAAAACTAAAGTCCTTGGGGGTATTCTGCTGGGGAGCAGGAACTGAGCACACAGACTGTCAGGCACCCAGGAGACCTGCGGGTCCTGCAGGCTGTCTCTCTTAAGTCTCTGCTCAGGCCCTGACTATCGGGTAGCCTTGCTTTGCAGGTCAGAAAGCAGGCTGAGAGATGAGGTGTTGAAGGTCCCCTGCAGGTAAGTTATCATCGCTACAAACCCAGGGCTGCCTCCCTGATCACCAAGGCTCTCTGCTGACATCCCTACCCCTGGGCCCTGGTAACCGGCAGGACCTCTTGACCACACTGTCCAGGAACACCTCTGACCCCTGCTACCTGTTTTCTTGCCTGTTGTGACTCTGCTTTCTGTCCGGAGTGAAGTGGGGTGAGTGGGAGAGCAAAGGTGTGCATGAAGATGAACGGAGAGCAAAGGTGTGCATAAAGATGAACGGAGAGCAAAGGTGTGTCTGAAGATGAACGGAGAGCAAAGGTGTGCATGAAGATGAACGGAGAGCAAAGGTGTGCATGAAGATGAACGGCAAAAGAGCCCATCCTGCTCCTGCTCCTTGGAGAGAGCGAGGCTTAGTGAGTGGATGGAGCGTGAGATGCTGTCGGCTGGGACTGTAGGGAGCTGGTGACTTAGAGAGGGGGTCACCGTGGGGCTGTACTTGCCATGCAAACGGGAGAACTTGGGTAGTGTCCTCAGAACCCACAGAGAGAGGTCAGAGTGTGTGCTTGTGTGCATGCGTGTGTGTGTGTGTGTGTGTGTGTGTGTGTGTGTGTGTGTGTGTGTGTGTGTGTGAGCGTGCGCACGTGCACGCACACTTGTGCCCCCGTTATCCACAGATTCCAAGAGCTCTCTGGCCACCTGCCTAGCTGAATCAGCAAGTTCTGGGCCAGGTAAAAGACCCTGCTGTTGCATGAATCCTAAATGGTCTTATAACAAAAACCCAGAGCCAGATATTGGGGTGAGTGCTGAAAGATCAGAGGAAACAAGCCACAGCCACGTCTCACCTTGCCAACTCCTCCCCAAATCCTCAGACTGAATGCCTCTAAGTCCTCAGACAAAAGGGGCCTGAATTCCTGTCTCCTCCCACCTTATATGCCTTTCTTCGCCCAGCCATATCACTTCCTGTCTCAACCTTCCTAGTGCTGGGATTAATGACATGTGTGCTTCCCAAATACTGGTAGCCGAGGCATGAGATCTCAAGTGCTGGGATTAAAGGTGTGTGCTAGCAATGCCTGGTTCTGTTTCTTTTAGACTATATTAATCTCGTGTAGTCTAGGGTGGCCTTGAACTCACAGAGGTTCACATGGATCTCTGCCTCCTGAGTGCTAGGATTACAGGTGTGTGCCACCACTTCCTGACCTCTCTGGCTAACTCTGTGGCTAGCTCTGTCCTCTGTTCTTCAGGCAAGCTTTATTTCCTAGATGACAAACAATGTATCACCACACCCTGCCTCAAAAACCAAGGTGGACGACACTTGAGAGTACCACTTGAGGTTGACTTCTGGCCTCTACAAGCACATGGGAGTATGCCCTACACACACACACACACTTTCACACATAGCATGTACACACACACACACACACACACACACACACACACACACACACACACCTGAAGGTGGGACCCTGTGGAATTCAAAGCGTCCTAGAGATCCAGCTGTCCTGGAGACAAGGCTTGTCACCTGGTATCTGGAACCAGGAAGAAGGCCTCCAGAAGGAATTTGTGAAGTTTTTGTGAATGCCCTGGAAGGAAATATTGTCACTGTCTTGTACTTTGCAGGCTGGTCTCCTCTGTCCATGGAAGCAAGACTTTGGGGCTCTCCCCATTTTGGCTGACCATGTGAATGCACCCTGACATGTGTGGAAAGACAAAAGTGGTTCCTTCCTGCAGCCATGAGGTAAGTGGGGCTCCTCAGAGTGTGCCACTGGCCTTTCCTCGAGAAAGACAGGTGGAAATACCCCAACTATCACCTTGGACAAGAGTGGAATCTTTTCCCCGCTCCCCTCTGACTGGCCCCTGTTGTCCCTGAAGACTCGGTGTCCAGGGCATCCAGCGAAGGAAGAAGCCAGCAGAGATGACATCACCATCTGTAATAGCAGGAGGCCAGAGCCTCTGGGCTGTACCCAGTTCTCTCTGGGCAGGCACAGGAATGACAGGTCCCTGCTGGTGCTGAGAACATCTGTTGGTGACGACCTAGTGATAACAGCTAGCATCTATGTAGCACTGGCCAGGGCCAGGCTTTGGGCTTCAGGCTGTATGCATCCACTTTAATCCTATCATCCCCATGAGCGCTTGCATCTCTTTAGGGTAAATCATTTTATCCTCACTTCACAGAAGAAATTGAGGTCTAGTGAGGTTAATGCTTCATCATGTAGCTGGTAAGCTGGGCAGATGGAGGCTGAGAGAGAGCAAAGGCTGCTGAGACTCCAGAGCCTGGGGGCCATTCAGACCTGCCTTGTCCAAGGCCCTGCCCATTGGACATCACTGCCCTGCACTTCTGGCTCTCTCAATTCCAGCTGGGGCTGTACAAGTCCTACTTCCCTGAGAAGTCTGAAAGAATCCTTTTTAAAAATTAACTTCATTTCTTTATTTTGTGTGCATGTCTGTATATGTCTGTGGGTACACGTGTGTCATACATTGTGTGTGGATGTCAGAGGACAGCATTCAGAAGTTGGTTCTCTTCCTGACACTTGGGTCCCAGGGACTGAACTCAGACCATTAGGCTTGGAGGGAGATGCCATTATCTGCTGAGCCAGGTTGCCAGTGACGCAGTCTGAGGGATTCCCTGTCTGAGGGGTGGTAACACTTCCTCCTTGGGGGCAAACTTCTTCCTGACATGGTTGGGTCCTCTAGGCTCAAACTGACTATGTTCAGGGACCCCTGACTGGCCCTTCCCCTGGGGTCCAGCTGGACTGCTTGCACAGCGGCCTTTGAGAATGGTTTTTCCTCAGGAACCATTTCAAACACACGTACATCCTGCCTCTCCTTCCTTTAAACTGAGAAGGGCATCCTCATTGCTTCTGGTAGCTATTGAGGAACGAAGGCTCTGGCCCACTGCGAGGCTTGCGAGCAGGGCTTGGCACACACAGATGCGCTGGTTGTCACGATTTCCGCACAGTCATTGTCATTTGGCTTCTCTTTTCCTCATCACTTGGCTAGACGATCCACAAGAGCAGGGCGCTGGCTCAGCTTCAGGCTAGTATTACCAGCGTCTGCAAAGTAGAGGGCTTGTCTCTAAGTGAGGGCTTACAATCACAAGGAGTGAGAGCGCAGGGCCACAGCCCAACTCAACTGCCAAAGTTCATCCTAGGGCCAACATCAGTGACAACTAGGGCCGTGCAAGGCTCATGTAGCAGGTCTCCCGGTTAGAGTCCTGCTCTCCAGCCATGGCACTCACCTGTCTGGAGTTCCACTGATCGCTGTTCCCGATTCCTAGCAGGGCCACATCTATTTGCCTACTCGGCCCACCATGTTTATCTGGAAAACTAAGGCAGATGCATCCTGGAC